TTATACACATTCAGCATACTTAAACCTTGATCTCCTTCGCCTACATGGACTCAGCATCAATCATGACGTCTGTAATTTATTGTAGAATATTTTTACATTTTATGTCGTCGTTAATTAATAATTTTAAAAAACTAATTCTGAAAGCGTATCCACCCCCACATCAGGAGTTTTGAACGTCGAATTTGAGCTCAAACTCAGGATTTACAGACTTTTAAAAAGTGAAATATGTCTCAAATGTATCCTAAAGAAGTTTTCCACAACACTGCATACTCAGTTCAACTACCTTACATAGCCGGTCACTCACTTTCATCAAAAGTATTTGAGGTAGGAAGTAGAGGGAAGGAAAGATAAGGTAAAAAGAAAGAGAAAACGCGGGAAAAGAAGATAAAATAAAGAGGATTAGGTAAGGGAGAACCTGAGAAGGTAACCGGTATAGTAGATGTTGGAAGGGGATATATTGGTAGATAAGATAAATTGTGGAAATGTAGGAGGGGGGGGGGGGGGTTAACAAGAAAAAGAAATAATCACAATCGGCATTGTTTGAATTATTCTTGGGCTGTAAAATTGTCTGGTGTGAGAAACAGTAAGGAGTATTCATTTTATAAAAATAAATTGATTTTTAATAGATATTCTGCTTCTATTTTTTCTAACAGAATCTTCAATTATATATAACCTCTCCATGTCTAGTGGTCTTTGAATTATATATTTAATATGTATAGGTCACTAATGGCTGACCTATCGTATAATGATATAACCTAGAATCGAACTGGGCTACTGTGAAATTTATTTTTTAATTACAATAGTTACAATATACAATAAAAATGTCAATTAAAGGTTTATTTTAAAACGCCAAAACTGATCGTGATATTCATGGGTTATTCTATAACTTTCAGACTAAGTAATGTTAATGTTTATGGAAGGGAGTAAATGTAGTACATAATTTGAACTTAGCTAGTTCCTTGAAGACATAAATCAGTTTGTTTCCTTAAAATTTTGTTTTTGTTTTAGTTATAATGCTTAATGCTGATGTATAAACACTAACCTAGTGAACACATGTGAAAATATACAGACTATTTATTAACCAATTGATGTAAACTCTTTATGGTAGATTAAATTTCATAATATTGTTACACCTTTCTTAGGGGTTTATTCTCCACTAAAACCTGAAGTTAGCAGTTCATAAACTTCAAAAAGTACAGTGCAAAGCTTACCAGAGCTTTCAACGCTGTCTTCCGGTAAAATTTACGGTAGAAAATACTATCTTTTAAATCAATGAATACTGATTGATGGCCGGATAGATAGGTAGGTAGGTAGATAGATAGATAAATTAATAAATAAACAATTGGTTAGATAGAAAGATAGATAGATAGAATGATAGAAAGATAGATAGAATAGATTCATGAATAAATAGATGACAAGATAGAAAGATAGAAAGATAGAAAGATAGAAAGATAGAAAGATAGAAAGATAGAAAGATAGAAAGATGGATATATAGAAAGATAGAAAGATAGAAAGATAGAAAGATAGAAAGATAGATATATAGAAAGATAGAAAGATAGATAGGTATATAGATAGATATGTCTAGATGAATAAGGATTTGTGTGGGAGGTTGGATTGATTATAGTTTAGGTTCAAGACAATCAACAGATGCTAAATAATAAATCTACAAGATAAATTCATTCATTTTTTCATACCACACATTTATTTATTCACTAATCTTTACCAGCATAGAGAATAGAATATATATTAGAGGGGAATTTACTAGAAAAAAGTGTAAAACGGCCATTTTGTTGAACTGTTTCCATACTACAGGTGTACTTCACATATTTATGCTATATAACCTTTTGGGCCCTGGAATATCATTTTATAGAAAATCTAAAATTATTGTTAAAAGAAAACCAAATTATATAATAGGCTGGTTTCATAATTGACCAATGATCATTTCACTTTCACTTTACAAACGATGATTTTCCGTTATAACTATAAATCAAATGATGTTTTTTATTCGCCTAATTCATTATAAAGTTTATTTAACAGTTTAAAAAATTCGAAATTGAAATGAATAGTCTAGGGAACATACTGTATTAATGTACTCTACTGCATATAATTTGTGAACATTTACATGACTTGTACACTTTGAACTCTCTTTCAGGCTGAAAGGGACTGAAAAAATTCATACCAAGAGATTCTTTAAATTCCTCTCTAATATATATTCTATTCTCTATGTTTACCAGACATCCTTTCAACCATTGGAACATTTAATGAAATTTATCAAATTATCAGTGATACCAATTAGACATGGTATTGAGTCTCTGTTACAAACTCTGATTTTCTTATACCTAAATATTTATTACCGAATTTTTTAGACTTTAGATATTTCAAACTATTAATTCTGTTAGATCAATAAGTCTAAATTTACACCATCAAATTGAAAAGTTAAAGGGATTATATCATATAATCAAAAAGATTACAAAGACATAAGTCATACTATAGTTTTTGTGGTTTTAAGAAAATAAAGCTAGAAGCATGTTTGTAAAATAAAACATGTAATAATTGTTATATTAGATACGAATTCTAGTTTGGTGGAGGACCAGTTCGAACATTGTGTGTTTAACTAAGGAGGACCAGTTCGAACATTGTGTGTTGAACTAAGGAGGACCAGTTCGAACATTGTGTGTTGAACTAAGGAGGTCGAGTTCGAACATCGTGTGTTGAACTAAGGAGGACCAGCTCGAACATTGTGTGTAGAACTAAGGAGAACCGTACTGTTTTGTATATGTGGATGATGTCCTTATATTCAGCCCTGACCTTGTTTCTCATCTTGAACATGTACGAAGCATCCTTGATCTCCTTCGCCTACATGGACTCAGCATCAATCCTGATATGTGCACATTTGCAGCTCCTACAGCTGACTACCTCGGGATGAGAGTATCAGTATCAGGATGAGATAATTCTGGGACTTCATGTATGTAGGTTCACTATATACAAGGTATAAAGGTGAGCCCAGTAATATATTCTAAGACTCCCTGTATGTAGGTTCACTATATACAATGTATAAAGGTGAGCCCAGTAATAAATACTGGGACTCCCTGTAGGTAGGTTTACAATATACAAGGTATAAAGGTGAACCCAGTAATATATTCTGGGACTCCATGTAGGTAGGTTCCCTTATACAATGTATAAAGGTGAGCACAGTAATATATTCTGGGACTCCCTGTAGGTAGGTTTACTATATACAAGGTATAAAGGTGAACCCAGTAATATATTATGGGACTTCCTGTATGTAGGTTCACTGTATACAAGGTATAAAGGTGAGCCCAGTAATGTATTCTGGGACTCCCTGTAGGTAGGTTCACTATATACAATGTATAAAGGTGAGCCCTGTAATGTATTCTGGGACTCCCTGTATGTAGGTTCACTATATACAAGGTATTAAGGTGAGCCCAGTAATATATTCTGGGACTCCCTGTAGGTAGGTTCACTATATACAATGTATAAAGGTGAGCCCTGTAATGTATTCTGGGACTCCCTGTATGTAGGTTCACTATATACAAGGTATTAAGGTGAGCCCAGTAATATATTCTGGGACTCCCTGTAGGTAGGTTCACTATATACAATGTATAAAGGTGAGTCCAGTAATGTATTCTGGGACTCCCTGAAGGTAGGTTCACTAGATACTAGTTATAAAGGTGAGCCCTGTAATGTATTCTGGGACTCCCTCTAGGTAGGTTTTCTATATACTAGGTATACTAGGTATAAAGGTGAGCCCAGTAATGTATACTGAGACTCCCTGTAGGTATGTTCTCTATATAGAAGGTATAAAGGTGAGTCCAGTAATATATTCTGGGACTCCCTGTAGGTAGGTTCACTATATACAATGTATAAAGGTGAACCCAGTAATATATATTCTGGGACTCCCTGTAGGTAGATTCACTATATACAAGGTATAAAGGTGAGCCCAGTAATGTATTCTGGGACTCCCTGTAGGTAGGTTCACTGTATACAAGGCATAAAGGTGAGTCCAGTAATATATACTGGGACTCCCTGTAGGTAGGTTCACTATATACTAGGTATAAAGGTGAGCCCAGTAATATATTCTGGGACTCCCTGTAAGCAGGTTCACTATATACAATGTATAAAGGTGAGCCCAGTAATATATTCTGGGACTCCCTGTAGGTAGGTTCACTATATACTAGGTATAAAGGTGAACCCAGTAATATATTCTGGGACTCCCTGTAGGTAGGTTTACTATATACAATGTATAAAGGTGAGCCCAGTAATTGAGTGGGATGGTGAGGTTAGAGAACTTTAATATATTTATAATTACTACTTCTGAATATTATGCAGAACAAGACCTACTTAAACTCTGTAAAAACAGAACAGCTCAGGTCAGTACTGGTAAGATGGTATTTAAGAAATTAAGACCAGGTATGTATGTATGTATACAGGGATGTTTCCGGGAGGGGAGGGGGGAGGAGGGCACTCAATCTCCCATGGGAACCATTGTTTTCATTCTTCCAGGGGGGGTGGGTTCAGCATCCATAGCCAACCCCCCCCCCCTCTTGTATACGCCCCTGTTCACTCCCATCTTCCTAACCTATTAATGATGCTTAACTGTGGCCATTAATTCTGTGTACCTTTTAATACAATAATTCTGAAAATTACCACACGCTGACCGGCAATAAATCTTACCTGAATCTTAAAATAGAATAGACTAACAGTGTTATTATAATGAAACAGCACCAAAAGCAAAAAAGCGTGCTCCTATGGTATACCCAAAAAAAGCATGCTCCCTATGATATACCCAAAAAAGCATGCTCCCTATGGTATACCCAAAAAAGCATGCTCCCTATGGTATACCCAAAAAAGTGTGCTCCCATGGTATACCCAAAAAAGCATGCTCCCTATGGTATACCAAAAAAAGCATGCTCCCTATGGTATACCCAAAAAAGCGTGCTCCCATGGTATACCAAAACAAGTAAAAACAAAAGCTGAAGAAAGACGTTATAAATATTTATTAAATCAAGTTTATTATTCTGTTACATTATGTTAAGTATGGATAGTGTAATTATAGGTTAGTTTCACACTACTGTAGAACTAGGGATTCATGGGTATAGACTAGCAGGTAGAGTAGAAAACAAATATGGCGGAATGCAAACATAGATACAAAAAATTAAGGACAGGAGGATATATAGGGATGTAGGCAACAAGGAGACAATGCTTGAGCAATTATTTACGCTGCATTTTAAATTTCTTAAACTGTCATCTCAGTTGTTGGCAGGAAATTAATGTAAACTAATTAATAAATAACAAACTTGGGCATTTAATCTATATCACTGTTTAACTGGGATTTAGGTTGGAAATAATTATAGATGTTAAAAGCAATCTTTTAAATAAAATTATTAATTAAATCCATTCTACAATTTACAATATCGCTATTAGAAGATTATTCACGGAGATTAGTTTCTGGTTAGGACGAGATGATATTGCAGGTTTCTCCGATAATCTGATGAATATCTTCAAGGATTACAAACTGTTCCATATTGTCTATTCTCTGGTCCGGAGTAGGTCGACTGAACAGCTGATCTATGGTTGGAACAAGATCCGTAGGAGATTCAGGGACAACCGTTCTACCCTTCTCATAATCCTCGCAATCCATGCTATCCATCCCATCCATATTTTCCATCCCATCCATTTCTATATCCCTGTTTGAGAGCGTTGAGTCTGGTGATGAAGATAGGGACCTAAAACTGAACCCTGTCGAACCCCCGGAATCTCTTCGGAGTCGGAAATCCTCAACCGGGGATACAAAATCATCAGAATTCTTCAAAACAACGTAATATTCACAGGTTTCGTTTTTGTGCGACACTGAAGGAAGCAATGTGTGCATAGACGGCAATGGAACAACTTTATCTGCACGTTCTTTACCAAAAACACTTTCTTGAATTGGCTCCAAAAAGATCAAGTTTGAAGGGTGAACAGACGCTACTGGAGTGACTTTCAGATTTTGAACCATTTGGGATTGGATAACATTTTGCTCGGGTTGTTTTGGGAGTGAGACCCCCGAGGGGCAGAGCTCAGACTCCTGTCGGTGTGTGAGGGGTAGGATATATTTAGCTTGAGCTCTTCTCTCACACTTTTTCCCTGAACCCTTGACTGTGAGGGTGACAGGGCTTATCTTGAGCTGAGGTTTTGTTGTGGGTTTAGCTGGGTTTAGGCTCCTGGTTTTTGATGCAGATTTTGTAGGTTTCAGAGGTTTCTTATGGCACACCTGGGGTTCCTAGAGTAGAATAGAATATATTCATCTTATATATTCTCCTTATTCAGTTCTTAGATTAATTTGTCAGTTTAGAGAACAAAATACTTGAAGGCACTCCGCACTCTAGCCGAGGCAAAAAAATTCAGAGAAAACATAATTTGGCAAGATAACAGTTAAACACCTCAGCTATAGTTGAAAGAAATATTTCATAGTCAAAACATTGAGTATAGATATAGGGAAAAAAAGAAATATAGAAATATTGGAGTATAGAAATATAGAAATAAAGAAATATGGAAATATAGAAATATTGAAGTATAGAAATATTGAAATAAAGAAATATAGAAGTATTTACCTGGAGTTTGTATTTTACAGGATCTATATTTCCCGTGTTAATATCCTCGAGTAGGTTCTGTAGACCGTAAATATAAGTGATTGCAGCCTTCAATGTTGTAACCTAAATAAATTATCAGATGAAAGGGCAAAACAAATTACTTTAAATTGTGAACACTTGCCTTATACTCTAATTTTAGCTTTTTATCTTTACAACTTAATGTTGAAAACCTTTGATTTCTTAATTTATGAATAAGGCTAGATCTAGTAGTTTGAGCTTGAAAGGTTTCCATCGTCAGGTTGCAAAAATTTATAGAAGGGTTAAAAAATAGGAACTTGACGCAAGTGTTTTCTGTTCGAATGTATCCTAAGTCCTAAACTGAACCTGATCTAAGAATATCTCCTAATCTAAACATAAACTAAAAATATCACCAAATCTGAACATAAACTAAGAATATCTTCTAATTTGAACATGGACTATGGTATCTCATAATCTGAACATAAACTAAAAATATCACCAAATTTGAACATAAACTTAAATTATTTCCTAATCTGAACTTAAACTTAGAATATCTCCTATTCTGAACATAAGCTAAGAATATCACGTAATCTGAACATAAACTAAAATTATCTCCTAATCTGTTCCTAAACTATGAATATCTCCTAATCTGTTTCTTAAATAAGAATATCTCCTAATTTGTTCTTAAACTAAGAATATCTCCTAATCTGTTCCTAAACAAAAATTATCCACTAATCTGTTCCTAAACTAAGAACATCTCCTAATCTGTTCCTAAACTATGAATACCTCCTAATATGTTCCTAAACTAAGAATATTTCCTAATCTGTTCCTAAACTAAGAATATCTCCTAATCTGTTCCTAAACTAAGAATATCTCCTAATAATATTCAGATGACCAATCCTACAACTACGTCATCTCTAGCAAGCTTGAGCTAGTTTCAGGTTTGGTGATGATTAATTAAAATATATAAAAATATATATACATTAGCCTGGAACCCTGTATTAGGTAATGGGTTCAAATAATTTATCTGAAATCCTCCCCGACATCAAATCTAACCCTGAGTGGGTAGGTCTGGGGGGATTAAAGTGTGGCATAAATACATAAATATTTTGATAATTTTTAAGATATTTTTAAGAAAAATATACAAAATAAAATGTATTTTTTATATTACTGTCATATCCGCAGATCTTTTCAGATCTTTTTTAAATTACCCGATTTGCCGGCTGTGCAGAAATGTGAATGTTGAATTTTATTCTACGATTGAGCGGAATAAACTAAATTGCATAAAAAATAAAACTATTCATCTTCAAAGGATGCTTGAACAATGCTTGAACAAAAATAGGTTTAAAAGAAGGAGTGAATATGTTTGTCTTTTTCACCTTTCTTGATCCTTGTTTGGGCCAATTTTTAACTTTAAATATTAAAATTGTTTAAACTTTAAAAGATTCAGAATAGATTTACATCAACTTATAAATATTGGTCTAAACTTGGTGTTCTACAGGACACACACATGTTAAACTAAATGGGAGGGTTCCTGGACTAAACTCCGAAAAGGGTGGTTTCCTATTTTAAACCTTTTAAAAGCTGAAAGATTTATGACCGAAATATCGGGGTGAGAAAGAAAAGAGATAGGGTTGCAGAAATAATGATAAGTTTAAAGAATTGAGGATATCGTTAAAATTAAAGATTATCTAATTTGTTAAAAAAGATTATTTTTTTAGTTTGACTCATCCGTCCACAAGTCTCCATGTGGACTAGGATAAACAAGTTGTAAGAAAAGTATCACCCAGAACAAAAACATGGATAATCTTCGACTAGAAGGAAAAAGTTAATCTGGCAGACATTTATATCTTGATATTGGATGTGTCTACAGCATACAAATAAACAGTGACCATTATATTCTTTAAGCCCCCGTTTCCCCTCCCCCACAGCTACGGTTTCTTTCTTCCCTCGTCCTCCCATTTGTATCTATATTACTTTGTTACTTCTTTTGATACTCAAAATGTAACTATCTTTTAAAATATCACGCTACTCTCTACCCATAACTTAGATAACATGCTAACACATCCATCCTGCTCTTTACTTCGTATCCTACCATCCTACCATCCTACCATGCTAACCCATCCATCCTTCTCCCTACTCCGTATTCTACCATCCTGCCATCTTACCGTGCTAACCCATCCATCCTTCTCCCTACTCCGTATCCTACCATCCTACCATGCTAAACTATCCATCCTTCTCTCTACTCCGTATCCTAAAAATCCTACCATGCTAACCCATCCATCCTTCTCCCTACTCCGTATCTTACAAATCCTACCATGATAACTTATCCATCCTTCTTCCTACTCCGTATCCTACCATCCTACCATGATAACTTATCCATCCTTCTCCCTACTCCGCATCTTACCATCCTACAATGCTAAACCATCAATTTTGCTCTCTATTCCGTATCCTACCATGCTAACCCATTCATCCTAGTTCCTACTCCGTATCTTTTCATCCTACCATTCTAACAATCCATCCTACTCCCTACTCATACCATCCTTCCTTCACTAAAACCGACAGTGGTAAGTCTCCCTACTTCCTACTCCTTACACTCTACTCACTTATATCCTACCTTTGTATCCTTCTCGTCCTGAAGAATAAGATTGAGGTCAGGCATAACTTCACGAAGTCTTTCAAAAGCCTCATTAACTTTAGCCATCCTTTCTCTTTCCTAAAAAAAAATAATTTTAAAAAAAAACTTGTATTTACGATGACATATCCCACAGTACCTGGCATGTACTATTAATAAAATCGATTAATCTAACATTTTTCTAGAAGTTATAAAATCAAAACATTTTCTCAAATTTAAATTCTGCGTAATTGATAAGCTAAGAAGTTCTATCTTGTCGTATGTCAAGGATAATCAAATTTAATTAAACGTTCTAATTAGATTAAAATTGGGATTTGTGTACCTTAGCATTAGCTGCCTTTCTTCTATATTTAGTCATCTTTGCTCCTTTACCCGCAGGGTCCCTTTTCTTCCGACCACTCTGCAAGAAAAATTAAATAAATAAATGTTTCCGTTACAAGGATCAATCTATTTTCGTTTAAAAAATTACCATTTTTAATTCAGTTTGAAGTCTTTTCTGTACACTTCTTGCTCTAAGAGATCTGGATTTATCAGGGATAATTGGACCTTCCTCATTATCTAAATTATCAAAATATTATCAGGGATGGTGGGACCTTCTTCATTATCTAAATTATCAAAATATTATCAGCGATGGTGGGACCTTCCTCATTATCTAAATTATCAAAATATTATCAGGTATGGTGGAACCTTCTTCATTATCTAAATTATCAAAATATTATCAGGTATGGTGGGACCTTCTTCATTATCTAAATTATCAAAATATTATCAGGGATGGTGGGACCTTCTTCATTATCTAAATTATCAAAATATTATCAGGGATGGTGGGACCTTCTTCATTATCTAAATTATCAAAATATTATCAGGGATGGTGGGACCTTCTTCATTATCTAAATTATCAAAATATTATCAGGGATGGTGGGACCTTCTTCATTATATAAATTATCAAAATATTATCAAAAATAATTAGTAATTATAATAACAATGAAAAAGTGTTTATGATATTAGAGTATAAAAATTTGATTGATGATTGTTGAAGTTCTATTTTTTTTAAAAACTATATACGATTAATCTGGACACTGTTTAATCCAAAGTTTTTAACATAAAATTGTTTCTGTAAGTTATTCCGCGAGGAGCTAATTTTCACAAGTTTTCAGTTCTAGTTATATTTTTGTAGATGATAATAATAACCGTCAATCATCATTTTGCAGAAATCAAGGTCAAGCCCTTACCAAAAATAGTCACCATAGGACGGAAATCAATAAAATTTTCTTGTACACTTTAGTATTTTATGACTTGGAATATTAGACAATCAAGAAACTCTGCAAGTTAGTTTGTAAAAATGCTCGCTTTTCATAATTCAAAATGTTTTTTGTCTCTCTGACAATTATCAAAAATAAATGTTGATTGCAAATATTCTGAAAAAAAACCTCAAGTGTTTACCAAGAATTTGTTCATTTCATTCTCATAATTTAAAGCGTTTGTCATTATGTTTAAGTAAGCATGATGTCATGTCGGGAACCCAATTACATGGGATGATGAAAAAAAGAGAATTATATAAAATTATTTACCAAAAGTCACTTTTGTATCTATTTCAGACGAATCTTGTTCCCTTGAAGTTGAGCCTGAACGAGCTGGGAGCGTTTCATCATCATTAATCTCATCATTCAGATCACCGTCATCAATATGTTTGAGGAACACTTTCATTTTAGTTGATGATTGCTGGATCATCTGATCTGTTCACGATTCTAGGCTCATTTACGCGTATTTGCTATAGCCCCTCTTCGGCCTTACTAACCATATATGGCTGGTATCCGTGGGTTGCAGGGCGCGTGGGACGGTATCCACCCCGAGCTATATACATACAATATATGCATTTTACACAAATACATACACAAGTGTCAATAGATCTACCGCCCACAGTATTTCAATGTAAATTCCTAAGATCGCAATTCCACCAAAATTCGCAAAAATTTCAATCGTTTGGTAGATTTTTATATTTGCGATAAAGGAGTTTATTTGGTTGTGTGAGGCGCAGATTACGGGTCCCTGGTACCGAGGAACCGCGACGGTACAACCTGCAGGCGTAACCACCAACCAATCAAATTATACAAAACAAGAGTCGTTAATTACACTCATTCGGTTTTCTTAGTATCTAAAAATATGAAAACAAAAAGATTTGGAGACAAATATGTTTTATCCTTGAACTCTCTGAATTGTTTAATCCTGAGGATATAAATACCTGTAATTTCTAATTGATTTCCCCTTCAGATATGAAACAGTGGTCAAAACTAGAAAACAATATTTTTCAACTCAAATTCAACTAATATTGGGTCTCTTTATCACAGGGTTATTTCAAGTGTCAGTTTACACAGCTCAGAGTTAAACAAACATATTTTCTCAAAATTTTAGTTTTTTCAAAGTTTTTATTTCAGTATGTATGCACTATTTATACAAAGCAAGAGTAGCAAGAGTAAAAGAACGATACCGTTCTTTGTTTAGTTAAAGTTTCCGTCACTGAATAAGTAAAAAGTTTAACGTTCAATATAAAAGTGGTTTCAATATCTAAATATACGGACCGGAACGATATAAAAAAGGATTCAATAAAGTTTCTTCAAAGTGATAGGATGAATTGAACGAATAGGCTGGATGGATGGGATGGATAGGATGGATAGGATGAATTGAACGAATAGGCTGGATGGATGGGATGGATGGGATGGATTCTTAGAATATTTGTTTGACGGGAATGTTTGCAAAAAGTCAAGAATTTGCATTTTGTTTGAGAAACATCTTACTTGGAAGTGTCGGATCGGGTCTAGTGGTTTAGAGAACGGAAATATGATGGATTAGGATGAAAAGAAAATGAAAAGGAAAAGAAAGAACAGGAAGATGTTAAGAAAATAACGGAGAAAGAAATGAGAGATTTTATAAAAGGAAAATGTATGATTGGGGTCGCTACTTTATGAATTGTTAAGAGAGATGGATATTTAAGATATTATTTAGTCTCTTGGTTTTAGTTCTAGTTCTAGCACCAGCTCCAGCTATTGTATGAATAGTAGAGGGAGATGGATATTTAAGATATTGTTTAGTCTCTTGGTTTTAGTTCTAGTTCTAGCACCAGTTCCAGCTATTGTTTGAATAGTAGAGGGAGATGGATAGTTAAGATATTGTTTAGTCTCTTGGTTTTAGTTCTAGTTCTAGCACCAGTTCGAGCTATTGTTTGAATAGTAGAGGGAGATGGATAGTTAAGATATTGTTAATCTCTTGGTTTTAGTTCTAGTTCTAGCACCAGTTCCAGCTATTATAGGAATAGTAGGGGGAGATGGATAGTTAAGATTTTGTTAATCTCTTGGTTTTAGTTCTAGTTCTAGCACCAGCTCCAGCTATTATATGAATAGTAGAGAGAGATGGATAGTAATCTCCTGGTTTTAGTTCTAGTTCTAGCTCCAGCTCCAGCTATTGTATGAATAGTAGAGGGAGATGGATAGTTAAGATATTATTTAATCTCCTGGTTTTAGTTCTAGTTCTAGCACCAGTTCCAGCTTCAGCTCCAGCTATTGTATGAATAGTAGACAGAGATTGATAGTAAAGATATTGTTTAATCTCCTGGTTTTAGTTCAAGTTCTAGCACCAGTTCCAGCTTCAGCTCCAGCTATTGTATGAATAGTAGACAGAGATGGATAGTTAAGATATTGTTTAATCTCCTGGTTTTAGTTCTAGTTCTAGCACCAACTCCAGCTATTGTATGAATAGTAGAGGGAGATGGATAGTTAAGATGTTGTTTAATCTCCTGGTTTTAGTTCTAGTTCTAGCACCAACTCCAGCTATTGTTTGAATAGTAGAGGGAGATGGATAGTTAAGATATTGTTAATCTCTTGGTTTAAGTTCTAGTTCTAGCACCAGCTCCAGCTATTGTATGAATAATAGAGGGAGATGGATAGTTAAGATATTGTTTAATCTCCTGGTTTTTGTTCTAGTTCTAGCTCCAGCTTCGGCGCGCTCCTGTATGAATTTTAGAGAGAGACGGATAGTTAAGATATGGTTTAATCTCCTGGTTTTTGTTCTAGTTCTAGTTTCAACTCCAGCTCCTGTACGAATAGTAAAGAGAGACGTATAGTTAAGATATTTTTTAATCTAATAGTTCTAGTTCTAGTTCTAGCACCAGCTCCTGAATGAATTGTAAAGAGTGGCGGATAGTTAAGATTTTGTTTAATATCCTGGTTCTAGTTCTAGCATCAGCTCCTGAATGAATTGTAAAGAGAGACGGATAGTTAAGATATTGTTTATTCGCCTGGTTCTAGTTCTAGCTCCAGCTCTAGCTACTGGTATTCCTACCTACTGGGTGATGAATGAACCCAACCACACAACATTAAACATCAAAATTATTATACAAGCAAACTGTGCTCATCCATTCTAATCCTCCCTTCTTCAATACCCTCNTTCCACAGATAATCTCAAACCTATCTCCTTTCTCTTGCATTCTTGCAAAATTCTTTCTTCATCTTTCTATCTCTTCTTTTTTCTTTCTACTTCCGTTTCCATTTCTTTTTTCATTGTTGATTCTTTTTTCAGGTTATTTCCCCATTCCTCTTCAGATATATTTTAGATAATAAAACAGATATTTGAGGGTAAAATCATTCACAAAGAAAATTGTATTTTAAAAGAGACAGATTACAAATCATACAGGATATACATTATACATAATCATTTTACAGAAAGCAAAATGTAAAATCCGTAACAAAATAATAATGATAGCTGTATACATTTTTTTACCAGGGCATACGTAAAACTTTTATGATAAAATCATTGAAAACATTATCTATTACTGCAGGATAGACAGGTAGGATAGACAGATTGTAGGATAGACAGATTGTAGATTAGGTAGATTATGAAATAGACAACTAGATTGAAGGATAGACAGATAGATAGAAAGATTGCAGAATATACAGATAGACAATGATAGACAAGACAGATTGTTGAATAGACAGATAGAAATATGTGTTTAGACAAGTTGATTATATATAATCCATGGTTCACACCATCTTCTGCACTCAACACTCACCAGCTCTCATCTATACTCGGAGAAAAAAAATGAAAACTGCATATTTACTACACGCATGAAATGTCAGTCATCTCTTCTGTGCAATTGAAGAGGGATAAGAATGAAATTTTTCGATTTTGAATGTTCACGGTACAAGCATAATTTTAAAAAAAAAATATCGAATCAATTCATCTCACAAGCTAAAAGTACAAATGATGCTGTAGCTTAAAAATTGATTGGTTTGAATATATTAGTCATTTCAAGCAATTTGTGAAAATAGTCAGTTTCTACAAATTTGAAAAGTGATATGAGGCCAAAAAGAAAGGTTAATCAAAAATCGGCGGGAAAAAAAAAATAGCAAACCTCTAAGTGAAAATTCCTTTGAATTTGATAGAAATTGTTAAGTTTCCTTGCCACATAAATGGCTATAAATACAGATAAAACATATCTTTAACATAAAAACTTACATAATGTAAGGTACCTAAACCTCCATTTAGAAGATAAACCAACTGCCAGGCTTTTAGATATATCCTGTATATCCTGTTATCTGATGAATCCAGCGTGTAAACCCTACTCCCAGTTCGCATAGTATACCCTGATACACAACCAGACTACATATATAAACACACAATCAACTAACTGATAGAGTTCCAGGGTGGGGGTAGGAATAGGGGGCCAAATAGATTGAGGAATATATCTTTAAACTAAGGCGCAAAATTCATGGTCTATTAAGATCCAGACTAATGTACAATTCAGTTTTCCTTTAAATTTGTTCTCATGAGGCCTCAACAATTCATAAACACATCTTCTGGATCCTGGATCCTTTAAATCCCATTTAAACCTTTATTACTTTTTGTTTAATTGAAAAATTGAGTAGAATTTTTTTCAGCGCATGTTATATTTGTGTGGAGAGTAATGATCCCTGAAACCTGGTCTTAGAATGATGTCATGGTTTCCATCCACACAGATATACTTCTCAGCATCTAGAAACTAGGAGGAGCATGGTTTCCATACACACAGATATACTTCTCAGCATCTAGAAACTAGGAGGAGCTTGGTTTCCATCCACACAGATATACTTCTCAGCATCTAGAAACATGGAGGAGCATGGTTTCCATCCACAAAGATATACTTCTCTGCATCTAGAAACTAGGAGGAGCTTGGTTTCAATCCACACAGATATACTTTTCAGCATCTAGAAACTAGGAGGAGTATGGTTTCCATCCACACGGATATACATCTCAGCATCTAGAAACTAGGAGGAGCTTGGTTTCCATCCACACAGATATACTTCTCAGCATCTAGAAACTAGGAGGAGCTTGGTTTCCATCCACACAGATATACTTCTCAGCATCTAGAAACTAGGAGGAGCTTGGTTTCCATCCACACAGATATACTTCTCAGCATCTAGAAACTAGGAAGAGCATGGTTTCCATACACACAGATACTCAGCATCTAGAAACTAGGAGGAGCATGGTTTTCATCTACACAGTTATACTTCTCAGCATCTAGAAACTAGAAGGAGCATGGTTTTCATCCACACAGATATACTTCTCAGCATCTAGAAACTAGGAGGAGCATGGTTTCTATACACACAGATATACTTCTCATCTTCTAGAAACTAGGAGGAGCATGGTTTTCATCCACACAGATATACTTCTCAGCATCTAGAAACAAGAGGGAACACTGTTTCCATCCACACAGATATACTTCTAAGTATCTAGAAACTAGGAGGAGCATGGTTTCCATCCACACAGATATACTTCTAAGTATCTAGAAACTAGGAGGAGCATGGTTTCCATTCACACAGACAATCAGCATCTAGAAACTAGAAAGAGCATAGTGGGGAGGGGGGGGGGGCTAGTTTGTT